TCTCTCTCTCTCTCTCTCTCTCTCTCTCTCTCTCTCTCTCTCTACAATTACAATACTAAACTATGATCACATCATTAATTTGTAGAAGATTACATGAATTGTTATACAGTGATTTATGCTCAGTAAAAAGATTGTTTTATCAAAATAAATTGACTATAGGTAGGACTAGCAATGAGATTGAAATTAGTCTTATTTCATTCAAGTAACATAAATATGCTGGTTTTTGAAACACAAACCCAATTATAAGTATTCTATTCAGATCTAAGTGGATTAGGTAGATGCAGATCCCAAAAAATAAACTTTTTTTCTTAATTTTAATGGGCTTTTTTACCATGGAACCCATGGGCTATTATTATAGACAACTCATATACAATTTGTGAGATTGATTAGGTTATTATTGTCGATGCCACCACTTGTTACAACAACAATAAAATTATAAATAGCAAGCCAAAAAATTCTAACTTTTTGGGATATATAAATATTTTACCATTATTAACTCTCTAAAAATATTTTTAAAATAATATTAAATTTATTTTTTATTTATAGTTTCTAATAAAATTTTCTTTGGTCTCTTTCTATCTCTTTGAGTACTACTAATACTAATTATCTAACTTTTTTCACTACAATACCTATATGCTTCAATATGATATGTCCATATAATATTAAATGATTATATTTTTTCCTTTTTTATCATCTATTGATGCTACTCCTAATTATTCAGAGATAAAAAATATTCCTTATTTTATCTTTCCTTATTTCAACTTTTCTTGCTTGGAATTATATCGATTAAATCAATTATTATTGAATCATCTAACTATTAGTTGATGGTTCGCCATCAGCTGAATACTATACAAGCAGTTCATGATCATCATAAGGTGTTCTAAGTGAAGTAGAATCATATGTATTCTTTCGTAATAAAAAGTTATTTTTCTTAAATTATTTACTGAAATATAAACTCTTAATGCACGACCAAGTTAAAAGGTCAGAAGAACACCGAAGTTTAGGATGCTGGGAGACATCGTGTATGTCCATGTTGGGCATCCATGACAAGTCCTCGTAGCAAGCACAGTGAGCACGTTGATTTAGATCACTGCTTGGAAATAGGAAGAGGACCGAGATGGAAGCTGTTGCAACTACAGCAGTCCCAATTCTTGACCTTCAACGAGGAATCCATCCACACACGTGTTTTGACTTGGTTTCTTTACATGTTGGTCTCCTTTGAATGATCCAATTAGTTAATGTCTGCTGCCTGTCCACGCAGTTACATGAGCTATATGTCAGATACATCAAATTCAAGATGTGAAGTCATCGATGAGTTTGTGTGTGTTGATTGTTTCGCTACCACGGTCTTGATTGCACAACATCAAGAACTCTTGTTTGATCAAGATGGATGTTATATGAACTTTGTAGATCCACAAGGAACCTCTTGCCAAAAGATTTCTATCCACATACCACATGAAATAACAAGGAAACAGTTCTACGGGCTGTTACTTTGGAGAATATGATCGATACAACCTCCCAGAAATGGCAGCAGCTAAAGCGGTCTTAAAAGCTATGTCGTTCGTCAGGGACACAGCCATTTGCTCCACCAAATAGTCCTGCTTATGCTTCTTCGATGCGTGGGATCGATCGGAAGCTAAGCTACAGTGTCTCGGTGCATGTACACTTCCGGGATGAGAAGGTTGGCCATGGTTGTGCTCGCCCTCGTACGTAGCCACTAACATGGATGTATCCTCTGCGCTTCTTTGCACCTGTGATGCACAAGATCGATATAGTTCATCCTTTGATCGTTCCATAACTGATTTAATCGATCTCTAGTTTATCTACCTTCTTCTTGACCGGACAAGATGGAGCAAAGGAGCATCTGTAGTATGCTCTTGGGCAAGGGTTATCTCTGGTCACCTTCTGCCCATACTTCCTCCAATGATGCCCGTCTTTCACCACCTGAGCGAGCAGCACAGAGATAAGCTGCATGTCAATAACCTGTCGCGGAAGCAGAAGCCATAGACGAGGAAGTATGGGAGACTCACGAGGCTCGAGTCAGATGGATCAGTGCGAACATACAGCTTCGAAACTTTGGGGTTATGCTCTCCTTCCCTAACTCTCATGCCAGTATCGGCCGCATCCTTCGTTCCTGATGAAACGCACCCTCCCTCAGAAGAAGTGTGTTTGGGCAACAGATCGGTCATCTGACGCCGGAGTGCGCCGTACTTGGCGACCATGGCGGCGAGCGTTTCCTTCAGCACCTTGTTCTCCTCATTCACGCTGTCGAGCTCCACCTCGAGAGCTTTAACCTGAGTCGAGAGAAGACGGATATCATATCTCCTTAGTCAAGCAAATGCTCTGAGCAAAGAAGAAAGCTTATACATACCGCACATCGTTGATGAAGATGCTGACTCACATCGTCGTCGGCATGTTTGGCTTTCACCGCAGACTTGCCACTGAACCGAACTGAGCCGATGCTGAGATCGAGATCGACGGAGATCGGCTCCATGCTTGCAAGGGAACGGGAGAAGCAGGAAACGGGGACATAAATAGGAGTAAGAGATGGAGTTCTGATCGAGGACAAGGTCATGGAGGAAGTGCGGCGAGCTAGTCTTCATGTGCATGTCCATAGATGGGGCCTCGTGGATGTTGACGCGGTTGATGTTGTGGAGATTTGGAGAAGGTGGATGGCTGTCGAAATGGAAGTCAATGCGTGCGCGTTCAAGTCAAGCGCACATGAGCAGCCAAAGATTGACGATGTTGACTGTTTGGGAGGGACTTGTTGACT